CCACTAGACATAGAATTAAGTGTTTTTTTTTAACAAACAAAGAACAATGAATTATCAGCTCCGGAAAGCTAGTGAGCCTTAAAAATAAATTATCTATATAAAAAAAATATTTTGGTCCGATTTGGTGTCAATGCACTACTCAAAAGACACAGTAGCTTGGTACAAAGCAAACAATGTGCAATACGTGCTAAAAGGGATGAATCCTCCGAATTGTCCGAAGGCCCGGTCACTCGAAACTTTTTGGACCCATATCAAGGGATATCTACGGAAATACTTTAAGGCAGTTAAATTAGAAGAATCCCTTACGTAATTAGTGCACGGTCCCTTAGAACGTGATGAGATATCGACACAGCGTTTATTACGGACATCTAGGTAAGAGAACTACTTCGGGTAAGCGCTAGAGATGGTTGGGTTTCATGTTTCACAAACCCGAACCCGACTTATTGAATTTTGTCAAACCCAAAGCTGATCTGAACCCGACCCAATCACTACTTATTTTTCGGAAAGCCTGAAATCCAATTTTTTGAACCGTTAGAACCTTTTTTTACTGAAAATACCGTATGAAACTACGATCAGTTTTTGGAATTGGGCATCGAGTCGTTTGAAACATTTGGATTTTTTTGACGTAGGACTACGTCTTTGATTTCTATATGGGGGTACACTTTGTGAAAACCGAAAATGGAACATGTAACAAATTAAGAAAGATTTTGAACGTTGATAACTCAGCTGTCCCTGGTCCAATTTCAATAATTTTATCACCAATCGATCAGAAATATTGAAATTTTTGAATGTTGATTTTCAACAAGAAACTATTGAAAAACTGGTAAATGTCCAGCATTGTCCAAAATCGTCAAATTAACTAACAAATCCACCAATTACCTACATGCATATGCTGCTTCCCCAGCACAGTCGTCAGAGATTAGTAAGTAGACGAAACAAGTCGAAGTGGCATTCGCCTCCGATCCTCGGGCGCATGCGAATAGGGAGGATGGAATTGCGTAATATTTTGCACACTCATCGCCATACTCAGAACCACACGCTCCCAACGATCACACCACTGTGTGGTGGTGTTTGGTCGTCGAAATTAGAAGCAGCAGTAGCAGCAGTAGCAGTGCTTTCGGCGTTTGGCGTTGAAAATTATAACAACGAAAGGCTGCCTGCAAGCAGCAAGCTGCAGAGCCCACTTAAGCAACCATCAAAGGAGCAAAAAGCTGCACCGCTATGCTATGGATCGGAAGCAGTAGCTCTTCGTGAGTCGCTACGGGTCAGTCATATATGCCAAGCGTGTCACCGGCTGACGAACTGTTGGCCTTTATCAAGTCATCTAAAAACATGAAGGCCCCAGGTTTCGACAACATCCTGAATCTGGAACTCAAACACTTGAGTTACAGATTCTACAACCATCTGGCACTGAATTTTAATCAGTGCCTCAGACTTGGCTATTTCCCCTCGTGTTGAAAGTCAGCTAAAGTCATACCCATCCGGAAACCTGGAAAGGATCAGTCCTCTCCTTCAAGTTATCGACCAATCAGCCTTCTCTCAGGGTTATCAAAACTGTTCGAAAGAGCAGTGTACCACCGGTTCCTAACATCTGCCGATGAAAACAACTTGCTGACACCAGCTGACTCGAGTGACAAACATTCTCAGACGGAACAAGTCTGTTTCGAAAACATCTGCCATGCCGTTGTTGGACGTTGAAAAAGCGTTCGACAATGTCTGGCATGATGGCCTGGTGTTCAAATTGCAGCAGTACGGTCTTCCAATCGTCCTAGTGAAGATCATAAACAACTATCTATCAGACAGGACGTTCCGAGTCTCTCTAAATGGCATCACATCGGATGCTTTTAACATCAGTGCCGGGGTTCCACAAGGAAGCATCCTTGGCCCCATTCTATTCAACCTGTTCACCTCCGATATGCCGGCTCTCCCTGATGGTGGTTCGTTGTCTCTGTTCGCAGATGACACATCCATCATCTACAAGGGTAGGGTCATCGGAGCTCTGACTGCCAAACTTCAGTGAGGACTGGATGTCCTGTCTGATTATTTCAACAGCTGGAAGATCCGTATAAACGCGGCAAAGACCCAGGTCATCATCTTTCCGCACTCAAAATCTCCCAGACTTGTTCCGTCTGAAAATAATAAGATCTGCTTAAACTGCTTAGTGATGGAATGGTCCAAAGAGGTTGTGTACCTCGGGCTAACACTAGACAGCAAGCTTCTTCACAGGTAGGGTTACCATATGGTATCCTAAAGCAGAACATGTCCTCCTTTTTCAATAATTTTTCTACATCCTCCTTTTACCGGAAAATGTCCTGCTTTTTGATCCTTGCATTTTTTCCAGGAACATATTCATACAATTGTGTACAAAGAGCGTTGATTGCAGAGCTTGTTTGTTTAATTATGTCCCAACCTCATCATTTCTAGCCTCGTATCTAGCAAATGCCATTCGATAGTGAGACCAGGAGTATACAACAGCTATCAACCGCGCTACACTTAGGCTCTGGTACTTTTGGTGGATTTTCACTTAAATTTGACAGATGGAAAATGTTCAAATAAACCTTCTATTCTATCAGACTTATTTCTGACAGACCAGGAATCAAACAATTTCTCGGTTGGAAAATCAGACGATCAACAACAGATCATAATTTATGTTCGAAGTGTCAACTTTAAGTAAAAAATCATCTTAGGCTGTGTTACATTGGGAAAATATTCACTTAAATTTGACACTTCGAAGTTAAATTAAGATGCTCAAAAATCCCTCTGTTGTTAATCGGCCAATTTTCTAGGAAGTGTCTGTCAAAATTGATTGCTTGTCTGTCAGAAATAAGTCTGCTGGAAAAAATGTTCCATCTGTCAAAATTAAGTGAAAATTCACCACGTGGAACACATCCCTTGAACATGTGTTCGATGTTGACGTTCTGGTTCTATGGGATTTTAGTCGTATGCTGAATCAGTAATAAAATTAACAGGAAGCTTATATCTTTCTTTTTCGTGTTGATTTCAATCAGCGATGACATGTATCCTGATTTTTGTGCATAATAAAAGGTGGTATGGTGTTGAGGCTGTAAAGCTGTAGGTTTCATGCCAAACAGCTAGACTAGATCATTTCCATTTTTAGAAGTATAACGAGAAAATTAATTGAATTGATAACGACTACAAGTTATGAACAATCCTAATTCAACCATTGAAAATCGTGAATTTTGTGATTACGCACATATTATTAAAACGTTTGATAAAAACTTATTGTCCTCCTTTAAGGTTAAGAAGATTAAACAATGTCCTCCTTTATCTCCAAACCTCAAATGAAATGTCCTCCTTTTCAAGTTTTTGATATGGTAACACATGGGAGCACGTTGACAAAACCAAAACCAAGTGCAACATCTTGATAGGATCGTTGTATCCACTCATCAACAGGAGGTCTACCCTGTCCCTGAAAAATAAGCTTGCTGTCTACAAACAAATCATCCTTCCCATAATAGAATACGGGATGCCAATCTGGGAGAGTTGCGCCAAATGCCATCACCTCAAACTCCAAAAGATCCAAAAGAAGATCCTTAGGATGGTCCTTAACAGTCCCCGCGGACTAGAAATTCTGAGATCCACCTCCTGGCTGGTCTTCAGACACTGGAGTTACGAAGAGCTGACTCCATCGCAAGGTTCAGAGATTGCTGTAGGTGATCCGATCAATAGATCGTCAGGGTTTATGGCACGTTAGGTTAAGTTAGGTTAAGTAGGTAGAATAACAAATTAAAACATTCAAACAACATACTTCACAAGAAGAAAATTAAAAACATTACACAGTAAAACACAACATGTACAACACAAAATCAAAAAGTTCACCAAAGATGAAGAGCCCTTCTGGCTATCCTCTTGCCCTGTATTAGCAATTGTAAACCACATAACAAATCAAAATAAAGAAGAATTTTACTACTACTACCCTCGCTCCAAACGACATACAGCTCGACAGCCTCATCCGTGTTGAACACCCAGCTCAGAATTACTCAACCATCACTACAAAACGGTCCTTTTCAGGACCACCATAAATTTGTTAAGAGTATTATTTGGACATTTGTCAAGGTCATCAGTTCCCGCAAGCAGCTAGCTATCAAAGCTCAACCTGGTCTCTATAGAAGGTGTGGAATTGTAGGCCCGAATGTATTGGTGAGATTAATCATCGTCCGACCATTTTTCAGAACACGCTGATAGGAAGTGTTAAAAATCCATAAAGAATTTGAGAGAAGTGGGAATAATTCGCTTTGGGTTTATATTCAGTCCCCAGAAAGCCAATAAAATCAAATTTGTGAGAAAATTAGCTCTCACGAGATCAATCTTTCGAAGTCCCTCCTTTTTTACATGTTCTGCACAAACGATACTTTCTGCTCCGCCCCATTCATATAATTCGGAAGGAAATCCTGTGAGGAATTAATTGAATACTCTTTAATACCAAAATGCACAAAACTTAAAAATTCATATATAACAAAAAATTCAAAATACACCTTTTAAAGTCGGGTAGATGAATCAAAAATACTCAAGTCTCTTGGATTCTCTTCATCATCTTTCTCTTTGAAATAAATACTACAAATTTGATACGCTTACAAATAAAAAACGGAAAGAGTTAAGATAATTGATGATTGATCAATTAAAAGAACTAAATGTTCACATTTGTTCCGTCCACTAGCGGTCCTACGTCAAGCTTCCGTTCGTGCCCCTAGGCACAGACCCTTCTACTTTTTTTTCCAGTTAAGAATCACTGCTGCTAGAATGCTTGGCTTTGTAATTATTGTTATATTTGTACAACATTGACCAAACTAAGGATTAGTTAATACCAAAATCATATCATGATGCCCTCCCTGCCATCATAGTTTTAACAACAATACAAACTAAATATAAATATGAAAACTAAAAACCTAAAACCACACCAACAGGAAGAACCTCGGATCGACAGCACGTACCTCAGGAGATGACCGTCCCGTCTACGTGATGCTTGCCACGGCGAATCTTCATACCGATATGCTTTACGTATTAGCGGCGCACACGAACAGCTTAGTTTGTTACCCATTGCGCAACTTGGGCATCCAGCCTGTCCTCCTGTACGTTTTGGATGGTTCGAATGGTTAATTTCCGCCAAATTGGGGCTGATTTACACTTTTACCTGAGGTTCCTTGCTGTCACCACATCACACTCGCATCGGCCCGGGAAAGTGCTTGGCCTCGGTTCAGCGACTGGGATCGCTGATTGTGTCTATGGCTGTAGTGACGGCTGCTGCCACGCTATTGGATGCAACGAGAACAAAAAGAAACAATGGGATGGAGATTGTTAGTATGCCTCGGTTAGGACGTCCAAAATTTGTATAAGAAAATGGTGATTTTAGTGGTGCTATTTGAGGGATATTGATTCGTGAATCTCCAATTTATTTAATGCCTAATAAATGGATTTAACGTTCCAGGATCAGAAGCAAACTCAATCTCCGTCTGTTTTTTTTTTTCTCAAATTTAATTATCGGACAACCACGCTGAGCCGATAAAGTCTCCTCGAAAAGACGGCGCATTTATCCTTCGCCATAAGTCCGAAGCATCATCAATCGCCACGTTTTCCACTTGACCTAAATGCCGTTGAAATCTGTCCCGTATATTTAATGAATCGCCTTGCACTTGTACGGTGCACTGTGCACTATGCACTCTGCCGCAGCATAACCTTATTCTCGATAGATAATAATAGGGTGAGAGAGAGAGATGGTGAGTGCGCGTGTAGTACATCACATCTCGTTTTGGTCCTTCATCATATCCAGTGGCGGCAGGATGATGCCAGTAGAAGGGAACTACCGCCAGATATTTGATATTGATTGAGTCTGCTTCTGCTTCGCCGGGTGGTTGCACTTGGTCCCAGAAGGGTTTTAAATCGGATAAAATTTAAATTTTAAATGAAATGATAATAAACTAAGGGGTGAGATATTGGTGGTTGTTGAGTGAGAACGGAACGGAGTATGAACGATGACAACAACAAAAAAAAACTGTGAAGCTGAGAAGAGAGTGAGGAAGGGAAATGAGATAGACTAAACTACAATCGGTGAGCGGTGAACACTACTATAGCTCTAGTGCTTTTGTAGGGGTGCAGCGTGAACGTGAGGGAAAGGCAGCTGACTACTGCTGCTGCCGGATGGTGGATGAGAAGTAGTTTTCCCTGGAACAATGGTGATTGGTAATGACAGGTCGCTTTAGCCGGTTGCGAAAATATGCATTTGCTGAGGGCGGGATGATTTCAAATTAAATGAAATTAAATCCTGAATACATGAGGATGTGCGATGCGATTGGATAAAATTAATGAAAAGTGATGGTTTCAAGTAGATTTAGTATGAGAATGATTTCACATTTTAGTACAGCGTTGACGATCAGAACAGCTTTCTACGGTTTATTTACATTATATTTACAGGGAAGCTGCAATTTTGAAGATGCTAGCTAAAACTACATTCTCTACCTCTAATACGAAGCACTAAATTACTAGAACACGAAGCAAATTGGCTGAAACTACACGGTATTTACAATTTTACAATGCCAGAAGCAGAGAAGGACCTAGCAATGTCGAACGCTTTGTGGATGTTTTTGTTGTCATCATTCTCATAGTTCGAATCAATATTTTTTATTATATTTTACGGAGTTGGGATTAGTTTTTGAACCATTGATTGCTTTTTTGTATGTTCTTTTGAGTTGAGAAAATTTGTCCGATGTAACTTTTGATCAATTATGTAGCTTTCGAACCATTCGTAATATTAAAATGGCTCTGATTTTCATCAATTTTTAAGAGGCAGCATTATGAACAGTGACCAATGCAAATTTACATTAGATTATACACCACACCCTTAGTTTTGTTTTTGCCAGTTCGGATGTTTTTTTTTTTGCCGAGACTTGCACAGATTGCTCGGCAGTACATTTTACTGATATCTCAGCAAACATGACGTTTGTTTGCTGAGATTAATCAAAATTATTTTTTGACACTCAGCAAAATATGTTAGCCGGGAGCTCGGCTAAGCAAATTTCGACAAAAATTTACGAGATTTGGCGAACAAAAATAAGTGTGCAGCATTGAATCTCACTTTTGTCAAAAACCATATTGCCATCTCAGTGAAAAAAAAAAAAATCATCGCATCTGACAACCACAGCAAGCTAGTAAAGCTGATAATCTGACGCAAAATGCTATTTTCTCTATGATTTGGAAATAGCTCAATTAGGGTAAACGCAACCATAGCGGAGGACACTATAGGAACACATTGCATACATGTGAACGCTAGTATTAGAATGCTTGTATTTGCATTGGATTCCAGTGTTGGCAAAATCAGAAATCAATTGATATTTTTCCGCTCTCATGCGCTCGTAATATCACGCGTGATATTGGAACAAAATATCATGCTTGATTTTGATTTTACAAGCTCCTTTGATATTGCGAGACTATTCACAACGTACAAAAATCAAGCTGAGAGTTGACTCGACACAAAAATGATTCCGTTGCACATCGTTTTTCTTATAAAGAGAAGGGATAGTTTGCTATCTCTTTTTACTCTTCATCGATGGCAGAGACGAAGTGACTGCTGTCAGCCGTTATGGAAGTTTCGGTTGCATTCGGGTGTAAAGCAAACATCTTGAAACTCAATCTTGCCATAGTTTGTTGAGATTTGCAGCTGGTGAGTTTTGTTAGCCTGATATTCCAAGCTGCGATATCACAGCTTGCAAAATTAACCGCAGTTGTTTGCTTGTTGATTTTTGTCTACGAAAATCAAGCGTGATCTTGGGCGTTGGTGAGATTTGATTTTTTGATATTTTCTAAACACTGCATTGGAATTTATTTGGCCACTCGTTCATATGAAGGCATTTTATTTGAAAGGTTTAAACAATTTGATTATATTTATTTTAAGACAATGATTGGGACCTCGATTGTGGGAGTTTTAAGGCTTACTGGTTTTGAAAAACCAGTGATTGTTTCTTCATGTTTTTTGTAATGAAATCACATAGCGTTCAGATTTCATAAATTTAAGCATCTCAAACGTAATAAAATTCTCAGAGCTAGGTAATTCCATTGATTTAGAAGTAACTTTTTTTAGATTTTGAGTATTTCATCATCAGTTAAATCTAAGACATAGGAACCAAAATTTAATTCTAGAAGTTTGAATTTTATAATTTTATAAAATGTAGGATTTTAAACATGTTAAAGTGCACACTTAATAAATTTCATACATTAATGACTTAGGAAAATGTGCAAGACATATGTCCATGCACAATTCCTAACATTCTGAATGTGAAATTAAAAATATTTTCGAGATCCCAAACCCATATGTTTTCAAGATTTTTCAACTATAAAATACAGATTGTAAGCATTAATTCTCCGAATACAAATGCAAATAAAAGGTAACTAAATTAAATCACTTGTCATAATTCAATACCCTGTAACTTATGCAACGTTTCCTTAACATCCACAAAACTCCCCTTTACAAGTGTTCCTCTACTGCTACGAAGTTCTCGGAATTTGTTCCAAATTCCATATTTATTCCAATCCTACAAAGATCTCTGAACATCTTGCACTTCTGGAAAGATACCCATCATCTACAAATATTCTTAAACATCTGGAAAATTTCTTGAAATTTGACAAAGTTCCCAAAACCTCCAAACAGTTCATAGAGCTTTTTTTAAGTAAGATCTGTGACAAACTCAAACGAAGCTTTTAAACTAAAGCGAGGATCCCTGAAGCTCTTACAAGTTTATTGATCTATTTCTAGATCTTTTACAAAATACCCTGAACTTCCCAAGTAACCAACAAGCCCGATAAATTCGCCTTTTTGCTATATAAGGCTAATATGCGGCTAATATGCGGCTAATATAAAACTAAGCATGCCCTATGTTAGCCGTGTATCAGCCTTATATTGCAAAAAGGCGAATTAGCGGGCTTGTTGGTGACTTGGGTTATTCAAAATTTCTTTCACTTCTATGAAGTTTTACGCAGCTCCTCAACATGCTACGAAATTCGCAAACCATCTACAAAGTTTATTGCAATTCTACGTTTCTTGTTGATTTTCCACGAAGTTTCACGAACGAAATTTCTTGAATTTGTACGTTATTTCCACAACTATTCTACGTCCATGAGGCTTTAAAAAAGGTGCTCCTAAATTATATAGTGGTTCCCAATCAATAACAAGCTTCCTTAAATAAAATAATGTTTCCTTAGCTTCTACGAAGCTAATCAAACTTAAATAAATTTCCACTTTTATGCATGTCATAACTTTTCCAAGCTCCTTGTTTGTCCGATTTTTTCTTAAGGTCTATGAAGTTCCCAGAATTTCTAGTAAGTTTCTTCAATTTTTATGATGTCCCCTGAATATCTTAGTTCATGAAGTTTTACGAAGTTCCCAGAAGTTAAAGGAAATACCCTGGGCTCATGGCCTGAAGACGTCTTATTATTCCATCGTTTAAATATCGATATCATATAATTTCTCAAAACTGATTCTTCTAGTTCAGAGCAAAAGAAAAGTAGTCAACTTAAAGGAGTTTGAAAAAAAAATCGTTGTTTGGAGCCCTTTTTTATTAATCGCGAACTTGACAAGCTTGACAGAATACCAGCGAGTCAAAATAAAAAAATCTAGGGGTAGCCTAGATAATTCTGGAGAAGACCTGACCCCCTTGGCACCCTCATTAGCTACGCCAATGAGATTTGCACAGCCATATTTTGCCGAGATCTCAACAAAAGTGACGTTTGGTTGCTGAGTATCAGAATATGTTTGCTGAATCTTAGCGAACAAGCATCATGTTTGCTGAGATCTAAGTAAAACTAAGTCCAGAGCACTCTGCGGTGAAAATCTTGGCAAAAATAACCGAGATTCAGCAAATAAAACAAAGTGTTAAAGAAGCTATTTACTGTGCTACCTGTCTCTTAACGCATGGGATTAACTACCCCATTTCCAGCCTATTAAGTACAGCCCGCACGTAGTCTTTCTAGGGTTGTTGAGCACCAAACTGAATGTTATTATTACTGATGGCTTCCAAATTTATTTACCACTCCGCACGTACCGTAAGATTTGCTAAAGAGAAACAAACTGTTGAGATATTGTTAAAAGTCTAACACTGCTTCTTGACGCCAAAATCGGCCTACGGATTCTAAACTCGACCTAACGCATTGAAACGCCATTGAAACGCCAATGAATTCACTTCGGCCTATCGGATGAAGATAAAGATTGATTAGGTCGGAGTGTTTCATTTGTTTTTGATAATATTGGATGCAAACATTCATA